TACAGACCTGTTTACATGCTCTTTACAATCCTGATCAACTTGAGTTCAACTCCTGCATAATACAAAACTCAATAATACACAGCTCTGATCTGTTCCTACAGTAATACCAGAGTGAAATATATTACAGATCTAAACAAAGAAATACTACAAAAACTGAACACCTACACAGTGTTAGTCTTTTCATTTGATTCTCAGGAATGATGTGCTGTAATGAAAACACGTGAAACATTTACATTTAAAAAGTGACTTAAATATTGAGAAATGTGTTCTAGTGATTTTAACTGTATCACCAAATGAACGATCAGTAACGCTATATGAGAGCGCTGAACAATCATCTGTAACTCCTGCTGAGAACAACAAAACACAGGACTAATTATATGTTCAGCATAAGTGTGTGTGTGTGTGAGTGTGTGTGTGTATACAGTACGTGTGTGTGTGTATACAGTACGTGTGTGTGTGCGCTGCAAGATTAATCTTTAACGAGCTGAAAAGAACACACGTCACACCTCATCAGTTTGCACTGGCTACCAGTAGCTGCTCGCATTAAATTCAAGGCATTAATGTTTGCCTACAAAACCACCACTGGCTCTGCACCCCTTTACCTAAATTCATTACTTCAGACTTATGTGCCTCTAGAAGCTTGCGTTCTGCAAGTGAACGGCGTATTATTGTGCCACCTCAAAGAGACACAAAATCACTTTCACAGACTTATACATGAACTGTTCCCTCCTGGTGGAATGACCTGCCCAACTCCATCCCAGCAGCTGAGTCCTTAACCATCTTCAAGACACGACTAAAAACACATCTCTTCCATCTTTATTTGATCCTCTAACTCTAGCACTCTCTATTCTAATACCTAATTCATTACTTCAGAGTTATGTGCCCTCTAGAAGCTTGCGTTCTGCAAGTGAACGGCGTATTATTGTGCCACCTCAAAGAGACACAAAATCACTTTCACAGACTTATACATGAACTGTTCCCTCCTGGTGGAATGACCTGCCCAACTCCATCCCAGCAGCTGAGTCCTTAACCATCTTCAAGACACGACTAAAAACACATCTCTTCCATCTTTATTTGATCCTCTAACTCTAGCACTCTCTATTCTAATTTAATTATACTTTATCTATATTTATCTTTTTTTATAAAAAAAAAACACTAGCTTTCTATTTTCTATTCTATATACTTGTTTTTCTTTGTGTGTGTGTATATATATATATATACACACCTTGCTACGTGTACTGCGTTAGGCTAACCGAGACTTGTCATTTGCACTTATATATTGTTGCTCTTTTGTTAGTTTTGACTGCTTTTATTGTCCTCATTTGTAAGTCGCTTTGAATAAAAGTGTCTGCTAAATGACTAAATGTAATGTAAATGTCATAGGTTTAGTGAGTGTGTGTGTGTAGAGCCTAACTACAGAGATCTCAGAGCTCAGTTTTAATCAGCCGTTCGTGTCTTTGATTGTTTATTATTAGTTACCGGCTTGTTTCTGGTAATTTTTCTCTGTGGTTTCCGTTCAGAGCCGAGAAAAGCAGCGAACCACCTACAGCACAATATCAACACTCAAAAAATTAACTTAAATGATTTTAGCAAATGGCTGCAATATAACAAAGAGTGAAAAATTTAAGTCTGAATACTTTCCGTACCCACTGTATATATACACGCACACACACACATGTACTGTATATATACACACACACACACACTCACACACACGTTCTATATATATATATATATATATATATATACACACAATAACCCTGACAAAGATTAATAAAGTAACAGATGTATTGCTTCTTGTTAGTTAATGTTAGTTAACTAACATTACAATAACTAGCCTTAAAGGGTTAGTTCACCCAAAAATGAAAATTAGCCCATAAATTACTCACCCTCAAGTCATCCTAGGTGT